GTGTGGGGCTGGGGTCTGTGGCACGGGGCTGAGGGGCTGGGGTCCCTGTACTGTGTGTGGGTCTGGGGTCCCTGCATGGTATGGGGCTGGGGTCCCCGCGCTGTGTGTGGGTCTGGGGTTTGCGGTGCGGGGCCGGGGGCTGCAGGGGCCCATGTGGGAGCCGCTGCCTCCCGCCGCAGGCCCCGCGCGTGTTCAACGCGGGTGGGTGGCCGCGCGTCATGGCCGTCGACTGCGGCCTCAAGCACAACCAGGTGCGGTGCCTGTGCGAGCGCGGCGCCGCCGTCACCGTTGTGCCCTGGGACCACCCGCTCGACCCCGCCGGTGCGTGGGAGCCGTGTGGGGCGGCCCCGGGGGGCTGCTGTGTGGGGCAGGGWAGGGGGCTGCCGTGTGGGGTGGCCCTGGGGGGCTGCTCCCCACCCTGGGGGTAGGGGTTGGGCTGCTGCAGGATTCGGTCCTGGAGGACAGTGGGGCTGGGCAGCCGTGGGGCTGGGGCCTGGGATGCCCTGGGGCCCCAGGAAGCCGTGGGGCTGCTGTGGGGTGGAGACCCTGGGGTGCTGTRGGGCTGGGATCCAGGATGCCATGGGCCTATGGGGGTGCCTTGGCGCTCTTAGGATGCTGTGGGGCTGTGGGGACGCTGTGGGGCCGGGCTGACCCTGGTGGGGGTGACCCCCCCCGGTGACCCCGCCGGTGGCCCCACACAGACTTTGACGGGCTGCTGGTGAGCAACGGCCCCGGGGACCCGCGGCAGTGCGGGCAGACGGTGCGYGCCCTGCGGCGCCTGCTGGGCGCCCCCCGCGCCCCCCCGCTGCTCGGCATCTGCCTCGGCCACCAGCTGCTCGCGCTCGCCCTGGGCGCCCGCACCTACAAGATGAAGTGAGCGGGGACGGGGGGCGCGGAGGGCGCGGGGGGCACGGGGTCAGCAGCCCCATCGGGGGGCAGCGGCTCCATGGGGGGCGCGGGGTCAGCRGCTCCATGGGCGCCCGGCCGCCCTGCACAGGTACGGCAACCGTGGGCACAACCAGCCGTGCGTGCACGAGGACACGCGGCGCTGCTTCATGACGGCGCAGAACCACGGCTTCGCCGTGGACACAGCCACGCTGCCGCCCGGCTGGGCGCCGCTCTTCACCAACGCCAACGACGGCTCCAACGAGGGGCTGGTGCACGAGCACAAGCCCTTCTTCAGGTGCCGCCAGCCACGGGGGTGTCCTGTGGGGGGCTGGGGGGTGTCCTCTGGGGGGCTGTGTCCCACCACCCTATAGGGGCCATGTCCTATTGGGGCCATGGGGCCRTTTCCCAGGGGAGCCACAGGAGCCGTGTCCAAGGGGAGCTAKGGGGCTCTCCTAGCGGGGACATGGAGCTGTGACCTATGGGGAGCATGGGGCCATGTCCCATGGGAGCCATGGGGCTGTGTCCCACAGGGCCCTGTCCCAATGGATGGAGGGGTGCTGTGGGGCCGTGTGCTGTGGGGCTGCAGGCAGGGGGGCGCGTGGGGCTGTGGGTCGGGGAGCTGCATCCTATGTGGCCACAGGTTGGGGGCTGCAGGGCCACGTGTGGGGGCTGGGGACAAGGGGACCGTGAGGCCACAAGCTGTGGGGCTGCAAGCGGTGGGGCTGGGGGACCGCATCAGTGCGGGAGGGTCATGGGGACGCATGCAACAGAGCCATGGGGTAGGGGCGCCGTGGGGCCTGGTCCGGTGCAGGGGTGGGGCAGCGTGGGGCGCTGTGGGGCCCATGCTGGTGTGGGGCAGGGCTGCCATGGGGCGCTGTGGGGCAGCAGCGCGTGGCACCCCCGCAGCGTGCAGTTCCACCCCGAGCACCACGCCGGCCCCATGGATCTCGAGGGGCTCTTTGACGTCTTCCTGGAGACCGTGCGGGACCTGCAGCGCGAGGACGGCGGCACCAAGACGGGTGGGGGCCGGGGCGCCCCCGTGGCGTGGGGAGGGGCGGGACCAGCGCCCCACGGCGGGGGCTGCGCGTGGGCCGTGGGACCGGGGGCACCTGTGGGGCTGGGGCTGCGCAGGGGCCGTGCTCAGGGCTGTGGGGCTGGGGCTGAGCGGGGGGCTGTGCTGGGGCCCATAGGGCTGGGGATGCACAGGGGGCTGTGCTGAAAGCTGTGGGGCTGGGCACAAATTGGAGGTCGTGGGGCTGGGGGTGCTCAGGGGCCGCGCTCAGAACTGTGGGGCTGGTGCTGCCCCTGCAGCTGGGGGCTGCTGCGCTCGGGGCCGCCCTGGCTGTGGGGCTGGGTCTGGGGGGCTGTTGGGGGCCCMGCTGACACCGGCGCCCGGCGCCCCRCGCGCCCACCTCGGTGGCCTGTCCCACAGTGCGGCAGCGGCTGCAGGAGCGCCTGGCCCCTGGTCTGGTGCCGGTGCCGGAGGCGCCGCGGCCCCGCAAGGTGCTGATCCTGGGCTCGGGCGGCCTCTCCATCGGCCAGGCCGGCGAGTTCGACTACTCGGGCTCGCAGGTGAGCGGGCGCTGCGGCTGCGTGGTGCACCGTGTCGGGCCGTGTCACACCGCGTTGCACCGCATTGCACCGTGTCACACCGCATTGCAACGTGTCACACCGCATTGCACCATGTGCCTTGGCGCATTGCACCGTGTCACACCGCATTGCACCGTGTCACACCGTGTTGCACCGTGTGCCTTGGCGCATTGCACCATGTCACACCGCATTGCGCCGTGTCACACCGCGTTGCACCGTGCACCTTGGCGCATTGCACCGCGTTGCACCGCATTGCACCCTGCACCTCAGTGTGTTGCACTGTGCAGCTCAGCGCATTGCACCGTATTGCACCACATTGCACCCTGCACCTCAGTGCGTTGCACTGTGCACCTCAGCGCATTGCACTGCATTGCACCGTGTCACACCACATTGCACCGTGCACCTCGGCGCGTTGCACGCATTGCACCACGTTGCACCGCATTGCACCCTGCACCTCAGTGTGTTGCACTGTGCACCTCAGCACATTGCACCGCGTTGCACTGCATTGCACCGTGTCATACCACATTGCACCGTGCGCCTCGGCGCGTTGCACTGTGCACCTCAGCACATTGCACTGCATTGCTCTGTGTCACACCACATTGCACCGTGTCACACCGCGTTGCACCGTGTGCCTCAGTGCATTGCACCGCATTGCAACGTGCACCTCAGTGCATTGCACCGCATTGATCCATGTCACATCGCATTGCACCGCGTTGCACCGCATTGCATTGTACACCTCAGCGCGTTGCACCACATTGCTCTGTACCACACCGCATTGCACCACATTGCACTGTGTGCCTCACCGCATTGCAACGTGCACCTCAGTGCATTGCACCGCATTGACCCATGTCACATCGCATTGCACAGCGTTGCACCGTATTGCATTGTGCACCTCAGCGCGTTGCACCACATTGCTCTGTGCCACACCACATTGCACCACATTGCACTGTGCGCCTCACTGCATTGCACCGCATTGCACCATGCACCTCAGTGCATTGCACCGCATTGACCCATGTCACATCACATTGCACCGCGTTGCACTGTATTGCATTGTACACCTCAGCGCGTTGCACCACATTGCTCTGTGYCACACCACATTGCACCGCGTTGCACTGCGTTGCACCATGCACCTCAGCGCGTTGCACTGCATTGCTCCGTGTCACACCAAATTGCACCATATTGCACCGTGTCACACCGCGTTGCACCGTGTGCCTCAGCGCATTGCACCGTGTCTCCCTGCGCTGCCACATGTTGCACCGCGTCGGGCTGCATATTGCACCGCGTGGCACCGTGTTGCACCACGTTGCACTGTGCACCTCACCRCGTTGCACCGCGTTGCACTGTGCACCTCACCGCGTTGCATTGTGCACCTCAACATGTTGCACAATGTTGCACCGTGCACCTCACTGCATTGCACCACATTGCACCACGTTGCACCGTGCACCTCACCGCGTTGCACCACGTCTCCCTGCGCTGCCACATGTTGCAACACGTTGCACCGCGTTGCAGCATGTTGCACCGTGCGCCTCACCACGTTGCRCCGCGTTGCATTGTGCACCTCACCGCGTTGCACCGTGTTGTACCGTGCACCTCAATGCATTGCACCATGTTGCACCATGCACATCACAACGTTGCACCGCGTTGCACCGCGTTGCACCGTGCATCTCACCGTGTTGCACCGTGTCTCCCTGCACCGCCGCAGGCCATCAAGGCACTCAAGGAGGAGAACATCCAGACAGTGCTCATCAACCCCAACATCGCCACCGTGCAGACCTCCAAGGGGCTGGCCGACAGGGTCTACTTCCTGCCCATCACGCCCGACTATGTCACGCAGGTGGGACGGGGGGCACGGGCGCCGGCCCTGCATCGGCGGGACCCCCRCGGCACCCTGCCCGGCACGGGTGCCCGTGTCCCAGAGCAGGTGTCCATGCCCCAGTGTGGGTGTCCATGTCCCAGAGCGGGTGTCYCTGTCCTGGGGTGGGTATCCATGTCCCAGAGCAGGTTTCTGTTCCCCTGGAGCAGGTGTCTGTGCCCCAGAATGGGTGTCCGTGCCCCTGGAGCAGGTGTCCATTCCCCTGGCGCGGGTGCCCGTGTCCCGGTGCCGTGTCCCGGTGCCCRTGGCGCTGAGCCCGCGGCCTGCAGGTGATCCGCAACGAGCGCCCCGACGGCGTGCTGCTCACCTTCGGCGGGCAGACGGCCCTCAACTGCGGCGTGCAGCTGACGCAGGGCGGCGTGCTGGAGCGCTACCGCGTGCGCGTGCTCGGCACCCCCGTCACCTCCATCGAGATGACCGAGGACCGCAAGGTCTTCGTGCAGAAGATGGAGGAGATYGGGGAGCACGTGGCGCCCAGCGAGGCCGCCGCCTCCCTGGAGCAGGTCCGGGGACACGGGGACAYGGGGGGCKCAGGGAGGGGGCAGCTCCTGGCAGGGACGGGATGGGGTGGGACGGGATGGGATGGGGACGGTTCTTGGAACAGGGTGGGATGAGGGGAGCTCTCGGGACGGATGAAGGGGGCAGCTCCTGGTGCGGGTGGATGGGAGGGATGGGGCAGGATGGATGCGATGGCTGGGGTGGGTGGCATGGATGGGGCAGGATGCAAGGGGTGGATGGTATGCATAGGGTGGGATGGGAGCAGCTCCCGAGGTGGGTTGATTGGGTTGGATGGGGCAGGATGGCTGCGTGCCCGGGTGCAGCTCCCAGTGCGGATGGTGGGTGCCCGGGTGTGTCTCCTGGGCAGCATTCATGGGGCAGGATGGATAGGACAGGATGGATGGTATGGATGGGGTGCCCCGGGTGCAGCTCCCAGGCAGGAGGGATGGGATGGCTGGGATGRTGGGTGCCTGGATGCAGCAGGATAGCTGGGGCAGGATGGCTGGGATGGTGGGTGCCCAGATGTATCTCCTGGGCAGGAGGGGTGGGACGGATGGGGTGGTGGGTGCCCGGGTGCGGCTCCCGGGCAGGAGGGATGGGATGGCTGGGATGGTGGGTGGGATGGATGGGGCAGGATGGATAGCTGGTATGGATGGGGTGCCCAGGTGCAGCTCCTGGGCAGGGCCGCGGCGTGGCTCGCTGCCCACGGCTCGCTGCCCACAGGCGCAGGCGGCGGCCGAGCGCCTGGGCTACCCGGTGCTGGTGCGCTCGGCCTACGCGCTGGGCGGGCTGGGCTCGGGCTTCGCCTCCTCGCGCGAGCAGCTGGCGGCCCTGGTGAGCCAGGCGTTCGCGCACACCTCCCAAGTGCTGGTGGACAAGTCGCTGCAGGGCTGGAAGGAGATCGAGTACGAGGTGGTGCGCGACGCCTACGGCAACTGCGTCACGGTGCGTGCCGGCACCCGGGGCGCCCTGACCCGCGGTGTGCGCCCTGATCCGCATTGTGATCCCTAACCCGCATTGTGCACCGCGATCCGCGTTGTGCACCCTGATCCGCGTTGTGCACCCTGATCTGCATTGTGCACCACAACCTGCGTTGTGTGCCCTGATCCGCATTGGGCGCTGCGACCCGCTTTGTGCACCCTGATCCACATTGTGTGCCCTGACCCGCATTGTGCACCCTGACCCGCATTGTGCACCGCGACCCTCATTGTGCACCCTGATCCGYGTTGTGCACCCTGATCTGCATTGTGCACCACAACCCGCGTTGTGTGCCGTGACCCACAGTGTGCACCACGATCCACATTGTGCGCCCTGACCCGCGTTGTGTGCCCTGACCCATGTTGTGCGCCCTGACCCGCGTTGTGCACCGTGCCCAGGTCTGCAACATGGAGAACCTGGACCCGCTGGGCATCCACACGGGCGAGTCGGTGGTGGTGGCGCCCAGCCAGACGCTCAACGACCGCGAGTACTTCATGCTGCGCCGCACGGCCATCAAGGTGGTGCAGCACCTGGGCATCGTGGGCGAGTGCAACATCCAGTTCGCGCTGAGCCCCGAGTCGGAGCAGGTGTGCGGGGCGCGCGGGGTGCGTGGAGCATGCAGGGCACGGGGCACCCAGGGGGTGCATGGGGCACAATGGGTGCACAGGGTGTGGGGTGCATGGGGTGCATAGAGTGCACAGGGTGCAGTGCGTGCGGGGCACATTGGGTGCATGGGGCGCATGGAGCATGTGGGGTGCATGGGGCACATGGGGTGCATGGGGCGCACAGCGCACATGGAGTACACAGGGCGTGTGGGGTGCCCAAGGCACGTGGGTTGCACAGGGCGCACGGGGTACACAGGGTGCATGGGGCACATGGGGCACACAGGTCACATAGGACACAGGTCCACGGTGCCCATTGTGTCTGCGGTGCCATTGTGAGCGCGGTGCCATTGTGACCACGGTGCCGTTGTGCCTGCGGTGACGTTGTGTCCATGGTGCTGTTGTGACCACGGTGCCCGTTGTGTCCGCGGTGCCGTTGTGTCCGCGGTGCCCGTTGCGACCGCGGTTCCCGTTGTGACCACGGTGCTGTTGTGTCCGCGGTTCCCGTTGTGACCACGTTGCCGCTGTCCCTGCCATGCCCACGGCCGGCGCTGCCCACAGTACTACATCATCGAGGTGAACGCCCGGCTGTCGCGCAGCTCCGCGCTGGCCAGCAAGGCCACCGGCTACCCGCTGGCCTACGTGGCGGCCAAGCTGGCCCTGGGCATCCCCCTGCCCCAGCTCAGGTAGCGGCGGCGCCGCGTGCACCGGGGACGCCCGGCGGGGCGGCCAGGCCCTCAGCGCTGCCGTCCCCAGGAACTCGGTCACCAACTGCACCACGGCCAACTTCGAGCCCAGCCTGGACTACTGCGTGGTGAAGATCCCGCGCTGGGACCTCAGCAAGTTCCTGCGCGTCAGCACCAACATCGGCAGCTCCATGAAGAGCGTGGGTGAGGCGCTGCGGGGRACGGGGTGGTGCGGGTGACGTGTGGGTGGCATGGGTGACGTGGGCATCGTGCGGGTGACGTGCAGGCAGTGCAGGCGACATGCAGRTGACATGCAGGTGGTGTGAGTGATGTGCGGGTAACATGCGGGCGGTGCAGGTGACGTGGGTGATGTGCAGGCAGTGCGGGTGACATGCGGGTGACATGCGGGTAAGTGCGGGTGACGTGGACGACGTGCAGGCGGTGCGGGTGACATGGGCAACGTGTGGGTGACGGGCAAGTGGTGCAGGTAATGTGGGTGACGTGGGTGACGTGTAGGCGGTGCGGGTGACACATGGGTGACATGCAGGTAGTGCGGGTGACGTGCAGGTGACATGCGGGTGGTGTGGGTGACGTGCAGGCGGTGCGGGTGGTGTGGGTGATGCGGGTGACGTGCGGGCGGTGCGGGTGACGTGCAGGCAGTGCGGGTGATGTGGGTGACGTGCGGGTGGTGTGGGTGATGCGGGTGACGTGCCGGTGGTGCGGGTGACGTGCAGGCAGTGCAGGTGATGTGAGTGACGTGCAGGCGGTGTGGGTGGCACGCGGGTGGCGCAGGCAGCACGGCGTGCGCCCTGCTCAGCGCCCCGTCCCGCGCTCGCCGTCCCACAGGAGAGGTCATGGCCATCGGCAGGAGCTTCGAGGAGGCCTTCCAGAAGGCGCTGCGCATGGTGGACGAGAACTGCGTGGGCTTCGACCACACGCTGAAGGCGGCCTCGGACGTGGTGCGTGCGGGTGCAACGGGCGCCGCGGGGGGCCCGCCCGGCCTCGCTCACCGCCCCGTCCCCCAGGAGCTGGAGACGCCCACAGACAAGCGGCTCTTCGTGCTGGCGGCCGCGCTGCGCGCCGGCTACTCCATCGAGCGGCTCTACGAGCTCACCAAGATCGACCGCTGGTTCCTGCACAAGATGAAGAACATCACGGAGCACGCGGCACTGCTGGAGTCGTTCCGCGGCGGGCAGGGCGCCCTGCCGCCYGCCGTGCTGCTGCGTGCCAAGCAGCTCGGCTTCTCCGACAAGCAGGTGGCTCAGGCCGTGCTCAGGTAGGATGGGCAGCACAGGCCGGGCTCAGCTAGGATGGGCGGTCCAGGCCAGGCTCAGCTGGGACAGGGGGCCCAGGCCGGGCTCAGGTAGGATGGGCAGCCCAGGCCAGGCTCAGGTAGGACAGGGGACCTAGGCTGGGCTCAGGTAGGACGGGTGGTCCAGGCCGGGCTCAGCTAGGACGGGCAGTCCAGGCCGGGCTCAGCTGGGACAGGGGGCCCACGCCAGGCTCAGCTGGGACAGGGGGCCCAGGCCGGGCTCAGATAGGACAGGGAGCCCAGGCTGTGCTCAGGTAGGAAAGGGGGCCCAGGTTCAGATGGGATGAGCGGCCCAGGCTCAGATAGGACAAGTGACTCAGGCTGTGCTCAGGTAGAACAGGCAGCCCAGGCTCAGGTAGGACGGGCGGCCCAGGCTCAGGCAGGATGGGGGGCCCAGGCTCAGGTAGGACAGGGRGCCCAGGCCGTGCTCAGGTAGGAAAGGGGGCCCAGGTTCAGATGGGATGAGCGGCCCAGGCTCAGATAGGACAAGTGACTCAGGCTGTGCTCAGGTAGAACRGGCAGCCCAGGCTCAGGTAGAACGGGCGGCCCAGGCTCAGGCAGGATGGGGGGCCCAGGCTCAGGTAGGACAGGGGGCCCAGGCCGTGCTCAGCCAAGCCGGGTGGCCGTGGTGGCGCGGTGCCGGCGCCGGTCGCAGCGCTCRTTCCACCGCCGCAGCACCGAGCTGGCCGTGAGGAAGCTGCGGCGCGACCTGGGCATCCTGCCGGTGGTGAAGCAGATCGACACGGTGGCCGCCGAGTGGCCGGCCCAGACCAACTACCTCTACCTGACCTACAACGGCAGCGAGCACGACCTGGCCTTCCGCGAGCCCCACGTCATGGTCATCGGCTCCGGCGTCTACCGCATCGGCAGCAGCGTCGAGTTTGACTGGTGCGCTGTGGGCTGCATCCAGGAGCTGCGCAAGGTGCGCGGGGGGCACGGGGGGACACAGGGGGCACTGGGGGGCACGGCGGGCACCGGGCCCACCTCGTCCTCGCGCTCCTCGCCCACAGCTGGGCTTCAAGACCATCATGGTGAACTACAACCCGGAGACGGTGAGCACCGACTACGACATGTGTGACCGCCTCTACTTTGACGAGATCTCCTTCGAGGTGYGCGGGGCGGCCCGTGGGGCRGCCGTGGGGCAGCCGTGGGGYGGYGCAGGACCCCGGCCCACGCGGCGCCCCGCGCAGGTCGTCATGGACATCTACGAGCTGGAGAACCCCGAGGGCGTCATCCTGTCCATGGGCGGGCAGCTGCCCAACAACATGGCCATGGCGCTGCACCGGCAGCAGTGCCGCGTCCTGGGCACGTCGCCCGAGGCCATCGACGCCGCCGAGAACCGCTTCAAGTTCTCCCGCCTGCTGGACACCATCGGCATCAGCCAGCCGCTCTGGAAGGAGCTCTCGGACACGGAGGTGGGGCGGCGCGCGTGGGCGGGCGGCGGGGCCGGCGCGGCTGAGTGGCTCCCGAGCGGCTCCCGCATGGCTCCCGCAGTCGGCCCGGCACTTCTGCTGCTCCGTGGGCTATCCGTGCGTGGTGCGGCCCTCCTACGTGCTCAGCGGTGCCGCCATGAACGTGGCCTACTCGGACAGCGACCTGGAGCGGTTCCTGAGCACCGCCGTGGCCGTGTCCAAGGAGCAGCCCGTCGTCATCTCCAAGTTCATCCAGGAGGCCAAGGTGGGCTGAGCGCGGGCGCCCGAGGCGCTGGCACCGCGCCGCCGCGCGCTGAGCCGCCGCCACTGCAGGAGATCGACGTGGACGCGGTGGCGTGCGACGGCGCCGTGGTGGCCATCGCCATCTCAGAGCACGTGGAGAACGCGGGCGTGCACTCGGGCGACGCCACACTTGTGACGCCGCCCCAGGACATCACGCCCAAGACGCTGGAGCGCATCGAGGCCATCGTGCACGCCGTCGGGCAGCAGCTGCAGGTCACCGGGCCCTTCAACCTGCAGCTCATCGCCAAGGTGCCGCTTTGGTGYCATTGGTGCCATTGGGTCTYAGGGGTGCCCGGGTGCTGGGGGGTCCCCCGACATGGTCCATGGCCACCCCCTCGTGCAGGACGACCAGCTGAAGGTGATCGAGTGCAACGTGCGCGTGTCCCGCTCCTTCCCCTTCGTCTCCAAGACGCTGGGGGTGGACCTGGTGGCCCTGGCCAGCCAGGTGATCATGGGCGAGGCCGTGGAGCCCGTGGGGCTGATGACAGGCAGGGGCGTCGTGGGTGTGAAGGTGAGCGGGGCGCGCGGGGGCACGGGGGACACGCGGGGGGTACGCGGGGGCAGCGGGTGCTGAGCGGCTCCCRCAGGTGCCGCAGTTCTCCTTCTCGCGCCTGGCGGGCGCCGATGTGGTGCTGGGCGTGGAGATGACGAGCACGGGCGAGGTGGCCTGCTTCGGCGAGAACCGCTGCGAGGCCTACCTCAAAGCCATGCTCAGCACCGGCTTCAGGATCCCCAGGAAGAACATCCTGCTCACCATCGGCAGCTACAAGGTGCGGGGGAGCCCAGGGGCTGCGAGTGACCTGCGGGGCCCGTGTCCCATCCCCATGTTCCCATGGCCCCGTGTCCCGTCCCCGTCTCTGACGTCCCCATGCCCCTCGCAGAACAAGAGCGAGCTGCTGCCCACAGTGCGGACGCTGGAGAGCCTCGGCTACAAGCTCTACGCCAGCCTGGGCACCGCTGACTTCTACACGGAACACGGCATCAAGGTTTGGGGYGCACGGGGCGCCCGCCCGTGCCCGCCGACACGGGGTGACGGCCGCGTGCCCCGTGCCGCAGGTCAAGGCCGTGGACTGGCACTTCGAGGAGGCGGAGGGCAGCGAGGCRGGCGCGCGCGAGGCGCAGCGCAGCATCCTGGACTACCTGGCCGAGAACCACTTCGAGATGGTCATCAACCTGTCCATGCGCAACGCAGGCGGCCGCCGCCTCTCCTCCTTCGTCACCAAGGGCTACCGCACGCGCCGCCTGGCCGTCGACTACTCCGTGCCGCTCATCATCGACATCAAGTGCACCAAGCTCTTCGTGGAGGTGCGCGGCGCACGCYGCTCCGGCACGGGGAGCTGCGGGACGGGGCCACGGCTCCCTGCCCTGGGTCAGGCCCCCGCTCACGGTGTCCCCCGCCAAACGTGGGGTCCYGCAGGCGCTGCGGCAGATCGGGGCCGCGCCGCCACTCAAGATGCACGTGGACTGCATGACGTCGCAGAAGCTGATCCGCCTGCCAGGTAGGTGGGAGCGCGGCGCRGGCGGCACGGCGCGGGGCGGGCGGCGGTGCCCACGCGGCCCCTTGCAGGGCTCATCGATGTGCACGTGCACCTGCGCGAGCCGGGCGGCACCCACAAGGAGGACTTCGCGTCGGGCACCGCGGCCGCGCTGGCCGGCGGCGTCACCATGGTGTGCGCCATGCCCAACACGAGCCCCGCCGTCACCGACGCCGCCTCCTTCGCCCTGGCGCAGAAGGTAACGGGGCTGCCTGCGGGGGGCACAGGGTGTCGTGGGGCGCTCGGGGTGCTGTGGGGCAGCCCCCGGGCTCCGTGGGGCGCTCGGGGCGCCGTGGGGCAGCCTGGGGCCCTCGCCCATGCGCTGCCGCCGCTGCAGCTGGCTGAGGCCGGCGCGCGCTGCGACTTCGCCCTCTTCGTGGGCGCCTCGGCGGACAACGCGGGCTCGCTGGGCGCTGTGGCCGGCGCGGCGGCCGGCCTCAAGATGTACCTCAACGCCACCTTCTCGGGGCTGCGCATGGACGACGTGTCGCTGTGGATGCAGGTGGGTCGCGTGGGCGGGGGGCACGCGGGGGCAGCCTGCGCGGGCGCYGCGCTCAGCCCCGCCGTGGCCCACAGCACTTCGAGCACTGGCCGCGGCACTTGCCCATCGTGGCCCACGCGGAGCGGCAGACGGTGGCTGCCGTGCTCATGGTGGCCCAGCTATACCAGCGGCCCGTGCACATCTGCCACGTGGCGCGCAGGGAGGAGGTGAGCGGGCGCCGGGACGGGCACAGGGACGGGCATGGGGCCGGGGCTGGCGCTCACCGCGGCCCCCAGATCCTGCTCATCAAGGCAGCCAAGCAGAAGGGCGTCGCGGTGACGTGCGAGGTGGCCCCGCACCACCTCTTCCTGTGCCGGGACGACCTGGRGCGCCTGGGCGAGGGCCGCGGCGCCGTGCGCCCGCCGCTGGCCACGCGCCGCGACGTGGACGCCCTCTGGGAGAACATGGACACCATCGACTGCTTCGCCACGGACCACGGTGCGCGGAGGGCGCCAGGGGCTGCCGGTGCCGGCCGGGGTGGCCCAGCCCCGCGGCGACGTCCCCATCCCGCCCCACAGCCCCGCACACGCTGGAGGAGAAGCAGGGCCCCGAGCCGCCTCCCGGCTACCCCGGCCTGGAGACCATGCTGCCGCTGCTGCTGACGGCCGTGGCCGAGGGCCGCCTCTCCGTGGAGGACATCGTGCAGCGCCTCTACGAGAACCCCCGCAAGATCTTCGGGCTGCCGCCGCAGGAGGACACCTACGTGGAGGTGGACCTGGAGCACGAGTGGGCCATCCCGGCGCACACGGCCTTCTGCAAGGCGCGCTGGACGCCCTTCGAGGGCATGCGCGTGAAGGGCACCGTGCGGCGCGTGGTGCTGCGCGGCGAGGTCGCCTACATCGACGGCCAGGTGGGGGCCCGCGGGACGGGGGCTGCGTACCCCTGTGCGGCCACCCCGCGCTGAGCGCCCCGGTGCCACCCCCCGCAGGTGCTGGTGCCCCCGGGCTACGGGCAGGACGTGAGGAAGTGGCCGTTGGGGGCTGTGCCGGCGCCGCCGCCGCTGCCCGCCAAGGAGAGCGCCAAGGTACCGGAGCTGCGGGCGCTGGTGGCTGTGCACCCCGGTGCCAGCTCAGCCCGGTGCCAGCTCGGCCCGGTGCCAGTGCGCCCCGGTGCCAGCTCGTCCCCTCTCCGCAGGCGCCCGAGCAGCCCCGGGGCGGCGCCGAGGGCCGCCTGCACCCGCCGCCCCGCGTGCACCGCTCCTCCGACCCCGGGCTGCCAGGTGAGGGGCGCACGGGCAGGCGCGTGGGCAGGCGGGTGGCCCCGCGGCCCCGCTCACCCCTGTGCCCTTGTGTCCCGTGCAGCGTTCYGGAGGCTGGGAGCCGCGCACCGCCCGGGCGCCCGAGGCACCGGTAATGTGCAAGGGCGCCGGGCTGCGCCCCGCTCCTGCTGCTGCCCCGAGCAGTGGCGCCGCCCCGGGAGCCCCTCACCCGGAGCCAGGGCAGGGCGGGCGCCCGCGGCCCCTGCGCCTGACCTGCCCTTCCCTTCTCCCCAGCCGAGGACRGCCGGGAGCAGCCGAGCAGGAAGGCGGCGGAGGCTGGTGAGCGCAGTGGGACCGGGGGGCTGGGGGACCGGGACGGCCCCATGCTCAGCGCTCAGTGCTGGGGGGAATGGGATGGCCCCACACTCAGCACCGTGGGGAACGGCACGGCCCCGCGCTCAGCACCGGGGGAATGGCACGGCCCCGCGCTCAGCGTTCAGCACTGGGGGCAGAGCACGGCCCCGTGCTCAGCGCCTCCTCGCCCGCAGACGCACCGCAGGACGGCGGCTGCTTCGCGCTGGGCCCCTTCCCGCGGCAGGCGTCGCCGCAGCGAGCGCCCCACTTCCCAACCTCGCCGCTGCTGCACCCCCTGGTCGGGCAGCACGTGCTCTCCGTGCAGCAGTTCTCCAAGGAGCAGGTGCCCGCGGCGCTGGGGGTGGCCGGGTGCTTTGGGAACATGCGTGTCCCAGGAGTCACATGCATGTGGGCTGCAGGAACACACGTGTCCCAGGAGCYGCRTGCACGGGGGCTGCAGGAACAYGTGTGCACCAGSGGCCACRTGTGTCCCAGGAGCAGGCACAGGGACCGTGTGTGTCCCAGGAGGGTATATRGRGGCTGCAGGAACACGTGTGCACCAGGAGTGTGTGCAGCGACCGTGTGTGTCCCACAAGTGACGGGGTGCAGGGGCCACAAGTGACGGGGTGCAGGGTGACGGTGCAGGAGCCACATGTGCCCCAGGGACCACGTGTGCCCCCGGCACGTGCGCAGCGCTACAGTGACCCGCTCTGGGTGGGTGTGCATGAGGGCTGCGCTGCTGTGCATGCTCTGCACATGCATGCACAGGGTCGAGGGTGCTGCACGCAGCCCGTGTGGGTGCGCAGGTGCCACACGTGCCGTGGCAGGCGCCGCGGTGCCGCACGGGAACAGGCGAGCAGCGGTGCAGCCTGGTGCTCCTGCTGGCCCCGCTCACCCTGTGGCGCCCGCAGCTCTCGCACCTCTTCAACGTGGCGCACAGCCTGCGCTTGCTGGTGCAGAAGGAGCGCAGCCTGGACATCCTCAAGGTGTGCGGGGCGCCGGGGGGCACGGGGGGCTGAGGGGTTGGAAGGCTGCAGGTTGTCACGGGGCGGCAGGGAGGCCGCGGGGTGGCAGGGACAGCGGGGAGCTGCAGGGAGCCCGTGCGGTGACAGGGGTGGTGGGAAGGCTGCAGGGTGGCAGGGGGTGTCAGGGGAACCACGGGGTGTCAGGGAGGCCATGGGGTGTCAGGGAGGCCATGGGGTGATGGAGGTGGTGGAGGGTGACAGGGAAGCCAGGGGATGCCAGGGAGGCCGTGGGGTGTTGGGGAGGCCATGGGGTGATGGGGGTGCCTGAGGGGTCCGGGCGCCTGTGGGGTGTCCAGGCAGCCACAGTTTGGCAGGGGGTGTCAGGGAGGCTGCCGGGTGTCCAGGAGGCCACGGGGTGGCAGGGGGACCATGGGGTGTCCGAGCGGCCGCAGTTTTGGCAGGGGGTGTCGGGGAGGCCATGGGGTGTCCGGGCAGCCGGGGGGTGTCCTGGCGGCCGGGGGGTCCTGTCGTGCCCACGCTGCCCCACGCCGCAGGGCAAGGTGATGGCCTCCCTGTTCTACGAGGCGAGCACGCGCACGAGCAGCTCCTTCGCGGCGGCCATGTGGCGCCTGGGCGGCGCCGTGCTGCCGCTGGCCGAGGCCACGTCCTCGGCGCAGAAGGGCGAGTCGCTGGCCGACTCCGTCCAGACCATGTGCTGCTACGCGGACGTGCTGGTGCTGCGGCACCCGCAGCCGGGCGCCGTCGAGGTGAGCGCCGCCACGCCACGGGACGGGACGGGACGGGGGCTGCAGCTGCATCCCAGCCTCGCTGTGGGGCTGGAGCTGCGTCCCGGCCCTGCCGTGGGGCTGGGGCTGCGTCTCGGCTGCCCCACGGCGCTGCCCCACACGGCCCTGCCTCGCTCTGGGCCCGTGTCCTGCGCCGACACCAGGGACGGGAGCCGGGGGCCACCTCGGTGCGGCCGGGGCTGCGTCCTGCCCGGCCCAGGGCGACAGGCGGGTGCTGGCCGGGGACCCCTGGGGACCCCCCCTCCCCRGGAGGGCTGCGGGTGGCCACGTTCCCACGCCCCAGGGGGACAGGGACCCCGTCCCACATGTATGCAGGGTCGGGGTGGCCGCGTTCCCGTTGCCGTCCCGCGCGGCGCCCGCTCAGCGCCCCGTCCCCGCAGCTGGCGGCCAGGCACTGCCGCAAGCCGGTGATCAACGGCGGCGACGGCGTGGGCGAGCACCCCACGCAGGCGCTGCTCGACATCTTCACCATCCGCGAGGAGCTGGGCACCGTCAACGGCATGACGGTCAGCGCGCCGCCGCCACAGTGGCACGGGGCGGCACGGGATGGTGTGGGGCAGCACAAGCTGTCAGGGCAGTACGAGGCAGCACGGGGTGGCATAGGGCAGCATGGGTGACACAGGGTGGCAGGGGCAGCACGGGGTGGCATGGGGAAGAATGGGGTGGCATGGGAATGGCACAGGTGACACGGGGCAGCACGGGGTGGCATAGGGCAGCATGGGTGACACAGGGGGGCAGGGGCAGCACGGGGTGGCATGGGGAAGTATGGGGTGACATGGGAATGGCACAGGTGACACGGGGGAACACCGGTGTCATGGGGTGGCACAGGGCAGCATGGGGTGACACAGGAATGGCACGGGTGTCACAGGGTGACATGGGTGACACAAGGTGACACGGGTGACACGGGGTGACACGGGCGCGGGGCCGCGCCGCTCGCCCCGCAGATCACCATGGTGGGCGACCTGAAGCACGGGCGCACGGTGCACTCGCTGGCGCGGCTGCTCACGCTGTACCGCGTGAGCCTGCGCTACGTGTCCCCCGCCGCGCTGCGCATGCCGCCCGACGTCGTGCGCTTCGTGGCCGCCAGCGGCATCAAGCAGGTGCGCCGACCCGTGTCCCCACATCCCTGTGTCCCCATGGCCCTGTGTCCCTGTATCCCTGCTCGCACCGTGTCCCCACATCCCCGTGTCCCTGCTCACACCGTGTCCCCAC